ATGTGCCACCGTGTATAGCTGCAGTACGAACATATGCACTTATCATTTGAAAATTGTTTATGCTAAAAGACACCTCAGAAGACTTAAGCCAGTGTTCAGATAAACAGATAACATGAATATCCTGGCTCTTTGCAAATAGTTCTAATTCTAAATCTTTGCCAGCCAACCCTTGAATATTCTGATAAATAATATTAATTTTGTTGGATTTGGCTGTTGTCGTACCCCTCAGTTTAAATTTGAGTTGGTCACCCTATTTTCTAAATTAATAATTTTATTAGTGCTGACACTAAAACAATCCAGTTGCATAGACTTTGTTATACCATGTATAACTGAGTTTTGTATATTAAAAGCTAACAAAGTAGCTATCTGAGTCTTATATTTTTTTGCAAGATACATAGTATCTGTGGTCAACTTAAATTTACTAATATATTTATTTATATCAAAATATAAAAAATTGTCACTATGACTATTTAATAAATTATAAATTATTAAATTCAAATTAAAGATGCGCTTGTTTTGTTCCCTAGTTAAATTTTCTGCATATGGGAAAGCGCTTATTATTATTTTACACTTGCACCTAGACTGATAGTTAAGTAGCACCTCTATATTTCTATACATATCTCTTGCTCTTATTTTAGAGCTGTCACCACACATAATAACTATGTTTGTCAAACTGTCCGCATCATACTGATTCAGTTCACTTATAATGTCATTTATTGATTTACCTGGCATACATATATTAGTAATTCTTTCATTACAATAATTCCTTAACATTAATCCAAAGCCGCATCCTAACTTATCCGAGAACATAATTGTTTTACTTCTAGTTGTGTTCTCAGATAGCACTGGTTTGAAAGGAGAGGTACTATATGTAGTGCAGATTGTCCTCACAGGGGAGTTGTTATATGTTTTGCAAGTTGACCCAGAACAGACAGATGAACCACCAAAATTTTTAACTGTTTGAGAATTATTATTATTATTAACAACCTCTATAATTTCAGATGATGTTGATTGCAAGGAAGATTGATTTAAAGAACTACTTAATTGATTTTTTACTAAAGACTCATAACGTTCTGCATTGTAGTTGCATAGTTCAACTAATTCTGAAGCTGATTTTATATGCTCACTTATTTGTTTTTGTGCATTTGAATATTTGTTAGATAATGTTTCTAGTGACTCATGTAAATATTGAATCTCTAAATGTAATTTCTTTGTATCACTGTCGTACACCTGCCTACTCTCAGTCAACTTTGAACTATATATATCTATAGAATCAATAAGGTCCATTCTTTCCTTCCTTAATGCTATATTTTTATGAAAACAATTATTTCTTTTAATTAACTTTCCTGTTCTTTTTATAAATTTACTAATGCGAATATACTTTTTTAGTTTTTTCTTGCCAGTTACACAGTTTTGTACAGCAGTGTTCTCATAAACAATAGGCTGTTGATATTGTGTCAAGGGCGCTCCGGGAGATGCCATTAATTCCTCAAAAAGGCTCTGTGTATGTGCTGTTTCCTGGAGTTGTTGAATTTCTTTATAATGTGCTAGTTGGTTATTTGCATCAATAAGTTCTTTTTCTAGGTCTGTGATACGTTGAAGAGCCCTCTCATATGTGTTGAACTGCTGGTCAAAGCTGTTGACAGTGTCGTTAAGATGGTCTCGTTGAAGAATCACTTCCATGTGTTCCGAGTGAAGTTGGGATAGTTCGCTCTTGAGCTGGGTGTTCCTTTGAATATTTTTCTCAATTTCCTCTTCACCCTCATCACGTTCACGAAGTAGCTGGCGACAAGTTTCCTTTGTTACCTTGAGTTCTTCCAGGGCTTGTTTCAATTTAAGCTCTGTACTTTGAACTGCAGCTTTGCGGGTCATCATTGTTATTTGTGTATAAAAATTCAATAAGCTGAAATTAATAAAAGAATATAAGTTTCTTTTTATAGTAATATTTAAAGCAAATAGAGTAATTAATGAGTTTAAATGATTATGAAAACAAAAATAGATAGAGATATTAAAAAGAGGGTAGAAAATAATACATAAAATATGTATTAAATTTTACTTTTACTACTTTAAAAATGATTAATTCAAATTGATCAACTTAATATCATATAATATTTTTAAGACCAATATCAAGTTTTAATACTTTTACACCTAATAACTATGTAGGATTTAATTTCCCAAATCTTAAATAGTAACTTAACTTAGAAGCAAAGTATAATAAAAAGTATGTATGATTTGTTCAAACTTTGCTGTTGTAATACGTTGTCATAATAAATATTGAGAACAATACTGTATCAGAAGTGTCAAAAGATATTAATAACAGCAAGTACTATGATATAAGAACAAATTACACAGCAATAGGGTTCAGACAGTTATTTTCAAATGTACTGTTGTTAGTGTATAGCTTGTGAAGAGTAAGAGTATGGTGTATGACTGGAGCAAAAAGTCACCATCAAATTTTGCTTCCACTATTATGTCAAGCAAAGAGAGGTTTACTGTGCTATTCGTTTTGAATTGTGACGTTACTCACTGATTAAGTGAGTTATGTGCAGTAATTTGTTGAGGTTTTCCGAATTGAAAAACTAAATTATACACTTTCATTAATCGACAATGACACTCTTTCTTATAGAAAATACTGATAAAATAAGATGTACTCCCCCGGTTTATGATGCAGCATGTCACACTATTGTCCTTTTTCGTAATTATTCTTGAATTTTACAACTTTTTCTTCTTGATTTTGACAAGTAGGTAGTCGTTACAATATTTGTGTTGCAGTATTTTAAATGTTTACTGTCCAATTCTTGAGAAAACAATTCCACACAATATTTACTATATAAACTACACTGTGAATCTATTTTTAAATAGAAATAAAACGAAAAACCTAATTATTTATAATTTTAAAACCAGCTGATACAAATTGACAAGTTCACCGGGTGCGTTCCGAAACGCGTTTTTTTCAAATTGTTAGTTATTCGCACATACTTTTTGACCCCTGTTCACTGCTCGTTCCCTGTAGGTGATAACGTGATAACATGTAGACTGACTGACTGAGCGTTTAAAACTTTAACGTCCCAAAACATACAATATTTTAAGATTTTTATGTGATGAATGGCTTATACTGCTTAGCTATTCATCTAAAAAAAAATTAAAAAAAAAACTTTAAATATTGTATGTTTTGGGATTTTAAAGTTTAAAACGCTTCTCCTGAAAAAAATGTGTTTTTGCATAAGTGACAGTGTCGCACCGGGGGGGTGCGAATGTTGATCCGACTTCTTAATAATATTCGTGCCAAATTTGAAGTGAATCCAAGCAGTGCTTTTTGAGTTTATCCCGGCCATACATATAGACAAACAGACAAAAATTCTAAAAACTATATTTTTGGCTTCGGTATCGATTGTATATCACACCCCAAGTATTCTTTTAAAAAAATATTCAATGTACAGTTTTGACTTTCCTACCATTTCATTATCTGATAACATAACAACTAAAACAAGAAACACAAGTTTATTTTATGTCACTGCTATATTTTTAGTTACATCCCTATTTCAGGTGCACTAGTTCCGTCGTAAATTTAACTCAGTGAATTTACTTGAAATTAGCTCAATCAATATTGTGATGGAAAAATATACAGAGCCCCATTGTTGTAAGTGAGTTTTTTCGCATCAAGAAAAATTGGATCCTAATTGTAGGGAATAATTATATCGAAGAAAAGTGCAGTGCCGAGTTGTAATTATTACGATTGTTCTTATAACACAAAACATTCTACTAACATATTTTCTAATTACGGTAATTCTGAATATGAGCGAGTGAAATGAACAGAATTTTCTAAATTGCCCTATTATCATTATACTTATTCATGATCTGTTTGTTACCATTATACTGTTGTCACGCTACAACTGTTAGGTCTGATAACTGATTTAAAATTGCTACTCGGAATGTTAGTGTTTCTTTTTATGAAGAGAATCCATTGAGTTGTAAACATACAAAGCTAGAATATGTACACAAAAGGTTTTACTGTATGTACTGATGTTGCAGTTCAAACCATGCAACAACCAGATGCGCCAGTATTTGCTCTAATATCAGAAGTGATTGTATACGTGAGGAGCTCGATAGCGCGGGTGGTCAGCGCGTTCGGCTGCGATCGTTGAAGTTCAGCAACTTTCGCAGTGGTTGGTCATTGGATGGGTGACCAAAAATCTTCTATCTCGAGTTCTTCCGTGCTGAGGATCTGTTTATCGCCACGTTTACCTACAATAGTTTACCAAACTACACCCACAATATCTTGATAACTATAAACTATATCTGCTGTAATATTTAGCAGCAAGGGAATATCTCTTATCCAGTCTAGAATGGGAGTTTGTGTAAATTAACCTTTCCTTGGTATAAAAAGAAACGGAAAACGTATGTGAGGACCACATAACATACTTCTCTTATTGATTAGGGCTTAATGACTGAAAGCAACATTTCAACTAAGCTCCCTTCACTCCTCTGTTGAACCGTGGTGAGAATGACATGTATTTTTGGTATACAGTATCTAGAAGAGTTCTCTCGATAATGATGAAACATTATCATCATCAAAGGGCCAAGTCCGGATTGGTGGATGCTAACGACTGCAGATGCAGCTGGAACCAACGTCTTAACGTGCCTTCCGAAGCACGGATGAGCTTATGGTATTAAATATTTGGTTACCCATCCAATGACCTACCGGTGTGAAAGTTGCTTAACTTCAATGATCGCAGCCAAAGGCGCTAACCACTGGCGCCATCGATCTCCTATCAATGGCGGATCCAGCTTTGGCGTGAGGGGAGGGTCATATAGTCGTGTTCAAGTCACAGTGGGTACAGATTGTGAAGTGGGTACAGATGGACCCAGCCCAGGGGTCATGGCCCCCATGACCCCCCCCTCCCCCCCTGGTTCTGCCCTTGTCTCCTATGCGTACTCGTTTTACGTATATAATTATGCGTGAACCTATTTTAAACATAGCCTCCTCATTCCTATTCCAGTTTCATCGAGGTGGACCGCGTGGCCGGCTTCTGGACGTACATGTTCGTGCTGTCCAAGCTGCCTGAGCTCGGGGACACGGTGTTCATAGTGCTGCGCAAGAAGCCGCTCATATTCCTCCACTGGTATCACCACATAACGGTGCTGCTATACACCTGGTATTCCTTCACGGAGTACACCTCGTCGGCGCGCTGGTTCGTCGTCATGAACTACTGCGTGCACAGGTGAGATTCGTTTGTTTATTTATCTAAACCCACGCTTTGAAAACCTCAATTATAGATTCTGTAACCGTTAACTTTTTGCCAACACTAAAACATCCAATGTCATAATAAAAATAAAAAAAAACATTATTATTTCATAATGACACTCTTTCGCTTTTTAAATCCCTTCCGCGCCAAGGCCTTATTTATTCATCAGACGCGCGTGGTATTCTGAATAAAAAAAACGGTCAAGTGCGAGTCGAACTCGCGCACCGAGGGTTCCGTACAAACCTGTAGGTATATTTTAATAATTATTAAAAAATATGTTTTATTATAATATGATGTTACTAAAAATTTACGATTTTCGCAATTTTTTCTTTATCTGTACTAAGTGTTTATAAGACGTTACTTCGTACCAAAAATCATGCCAGACCCAGCACAGCATACCCCTAGCCATACCCTGGGCTGTACACTATATGCTTTCAGGTTTTGTTTTTGTCCCATATGACATAGTATAAATATGTACTTATAATTAGAGATGGGCGTTTTTAGATATTTTTTAAATCGATGCGCATCGGTATCAGATAAGTTTGTGGCACTGTTGCTATAGTAACGTTGACAAAAACTAGACGGCATCGGCATCCAGTCGCATCGGATGCGCACATCCGAACCTGGCATCGTTATTCTAAAAACGTCCATCCCTACTTATAATTCAGTTTTTGGGTAAAAATATATACTCCCGACGTATACAGCGTTTACGGTGAAAGACATCGAACGACAAATATTTTAGAGTCGTTTCATTCAAAATTACCCGGGGAAAAAAATGAAGGCGGTGCTCAAGTCGATGCGTATATTTTTTTTTGGAAACCGTCGAAAAGTAAAAAACAATAAACCTTTTTTTATCATTAGTCAAAATTATGGCGTCAGTGCCATGTATGTGTTATGGATCTGAGTTCCCATTTACTACTCGGGTTGACATGGCACCGATTCCAAATATTAATTTGAATAAAGTAAAAAAAAAAATTTTAAAAAATGGTTTTGATTGAGCAGGACACTGCACTTTATAATTTTAAGTAACATCATCCATAACAATCAAAAGTGTTTGCATTCTTGACCATGGAGCAAAAACAAAGAGGAATTGTTGTATAGCGTTTACTCTAAGAAATCAAGAGAAACCACTGAACAGCGCCATCACGACGAGTAGGCAAACTAAAATCGAGCTACTTCTAAACACACAATCACACACGCGTCGTTACCAGCCTAAGTACACAAAATATCTCCATTTTGTGTCTAAGGATGTTATTTATTGTTAATGAATGCGAAATCAGTATATAATATAAAATATAGCCTAGCATTTATTTGCATAATTTACACGAAGATGGGGAAACAAAAAATAAGGGAATTCCTATCATAGAAGAGAAAAACTCACTTTAAACTTACAGTGATCTATTAAGACCTTCTAAATAATTAAATTCCTACTTTCTGATGTATTTCTTAGGCCCACTTTCAGCAAATTTCGATTTAAACAAACACTGTATTTTGAACTTTTTAATCTGACATTATTGTATGGGAGGAATGTAGTTTTAGTTAACTTGAGAATTAGCAAAACTGCTGCGATTTGCGATAAGTGATTAATCACGCGCTAAATCGAGGATTTTCCGAAATTAGTTAGGGGTTTAGTGCAATTTTCAAAATGATTTAGGGTAAAATCAAAACCTGATTGTGGAAACACTGGATATGTAGTATGTGTATTTGACACTAGATGGAGCTACTTGCTCATTTGTACTGTCGCGGTATTAATACATAAAAAATGATTATATCTTCTCATTTAAGCAATTAATTTTTATAATTTTTTTATTATTTTTAAAGCATGTAACTGCTTGATGTTTAAATCTAAAGAAAATATAACTAGAAAAAATTCCACGCGGACCAGGCAGCAGACGGGACTCGAACCCGCACCCTTCGCAATCCGGGCGAATGCACTGACCAATTATGCTACCGCGGCCCTTGCAGCTTAAGAATAGCTAGAAGGAATTTCGACGCGGTCCGTGAGGGCCGCGGTAGCATAATTGGTCAGTGCATTCGCCCGGATTGCGAAGGGTGCGGGTTCGAGTCCCGTCTGCTGCCTGGTCCGCGTGGAATTTTTTCTAGTTATATTTTCTTTAGAATTAATTTTTATGCTGAATTGTGAAAGGTGTGTATAGTAATCAATAAAAATGAATTATTTTGTCCCAGGCACTGGGCATGGATCACAGGATATAAAAAAACGATTTTTTTCAAACACGTTCACGTGTTTACGCCACGAAAACTGGAGTCGAGCTGATATCAGCGCCTCTTGCGCTGAGTGGCCGAAATATTGTCAGGCAAAATTGCATACAGCTTTATACCGGCCATACACACTACGAGAAATCGTTACGATTAGACTGTACAGTCCGAACGGTACCGATAAATCGTAGCGTGTATGTTATAAAACTGCACAGTTTCCTATGCTAAACGAAATCGTATAAACTGTTCCGTTCGAACTGTACAGTCTGATCGTAACGATTTCTCGTAGTGTGTATGGCCGGTATTAGGCTGTTAGCTCTTTAGGCTGGAAACAGTGCTCGACCGACGGTACGTCCTGACCGTTGGCGCTGACCGTCGGTTGTGAAAATGCATTCAGTGCAACTAGTAATGGCAATCACTGCTATTTTTCATTAATTTCATTAGCATGCTAATTTTCATGTCTTGGCATGCTATGTGCTATTGCTATGCTATTTGCTAAAAAATAGCTGTGATTTGTGAAATGCTATTTTTTCTTCATAACGACAACATAAGATATTATAATTGATTTTTGTAATTTTGCATTTTCCGGTCCACACCGAAATATCAATCACACGATCCGATCGATGTCAACGTAACTAAATTATTTACCTGACTGAACTTATAGCCTACGACCTACGCAACAAGTGCGAAATATTAATTAATTAAAACAACTATAGAATAATGGACCCTAAACTTAAGCATTTCATTTTATTTTTTAAGAAATTGGATTTGCGCGAATTACGTTTACGAAAAGATTACGTTTTATTATGAAAGTAATATTAATAAACAGTGAAGGTGCGTACAAGTTGTAACTTGTTCAATCGTGAATTAGCGAATACTTGTATGTAATAGACGATGTCGGATTATAGGGGGTGCCGCATTAGCCAGGGGCCGGATTATCGGGGCTCCACTGTATTCATTTTTGCTTTGAGTGTACGTATGCGCGTTTGTTCGGTCGTTCGATCAGTGAAGGTCAGCGCTGACCGTCTGTCGAGCACTGTTTCCAGCCTTATATTTGCTTCATGTTCTTGACGCACCGGCAAGCAGGCGTTTCCTCTCTACAGCAGAATAATTAAATTTCGATACCTCCATCAAAATTTAATTCTTGCCGCTTCGGGCGAGACCACGAGCCACTTTCGAAAGAGATTGGCGAATTATGTAACCGTAAAAACTGCAAAGAGATCATATTGATCTTTTATTTTCAACAAATTGCGTAAACGCGCCGAGCTATTATTCAACACTAACTGAATTCAAATTATAACAATTGTGATATCTGATATATAAAATTCTCGTGTCGCGGTGTTTGTGGTTAAACTCCTCCGAAACGGCTTTCCCGATTCTCATGAAATTTTGTGTGCATATTGGGTAGGTCTGAGAATCGGACAACATCTATTTTTCATCCCCCTAAATGTTAAGGGTAATCCACCCCTAAATTTCTTTTTTCAATTTTAGATATATTTTTTTTTATTTTTTTATGTTACATCATACAAAAATACATACATTCCTAAATTTTCAACTTTCTACCAACAACCCCTATTTTTTTATCGCGGTATGAAGTTCGCTGGGTCAGCTTGTAATATTATAATATCGTACGCTATATAATACACTCCCGGACTCTTGAATCGAGCCACCTTACATTCCCGGGCCTGAAAGCCCAATACACAAAAAATATACAATATAACAAAAAATGTTTTTATGCATTTTTAATGCTGGCATATTTCATCGTCTTTCCCGTATGTATTATTCCAAATTTGAATTTTAGAATTTAAAATAAAGAACAAATGCCGAGCTTGGTCACTGATTTGAAAAAAATAATGACTGTTGAAAGTTTCTTTTGAATGTCGATTTGGTTTGAATTTTCTAAAATTGTTGTAAACCAAAGTTTAGTTTAGTTATTTTTCTATAATTTGAACCGTTTTTGGCTATAAAATTATGGATACTTCGGCTGAAGTAGCCGCGCAAGCTGTAGCACTTCTTCAATCTGGGCTAAGTTAGCGAGATGTGAGTTCACAACTTCACATAAGTCGTTCCGCTGTTCAAAGAGTGTACCACCGATACCTGGAGACTGGCGGCTTCGTTCGGCGAACAGGAGGACCTCGTTACCGAGTGACAACGGCGAGACAAGATCAATACATTGTCACTACTAGCTTACGAAATCGACGCCTTAACTCTGTTCAGATACAAGAACAGCTCAGGGACTTTCACGGAGTGGCTGTAAGTGCTCGGACCGTTAGAAGGCGACTCAATGAACGTGGTTTAAAGCCCCATAAGCCAGCCAATGGACCCAAATTGACACGAGCACACCGAATAGCCCGTCTAGAGTTTGCGCGCGAACATCTAAATTGGACTCGACATCAATGGAGCCAGGTTTTCTTCACAGATGAGTCCAAGATAATGCTATACGGTAATGACGGAAGGAGTAAGGTGTACCGAAGACAGAACGAGCGTTTCGCGCAATGCTGTATTGACGAGAAAGTGAGTTATGGTGGAGGATCATGGACAGTCTGGGGAGGAATCTCTATGGAAGGCAAAACTGAGCTAGAGGTAGTGACGGGACCACGACTGCTGCCCCTAGATGGCAATAGATACATTCGCCAATGTTTAGAGAACCACGTGATGCCATATGCTGGATTTATTGGCCAATTTCGTTTTAATGCATGATAATGCAAGGGCCCATACTGCGGGATTCGTCAGGGAGTACTAAAATGACATTGGTTTCACTGTTATGAGATGGCCAGCGCGAAGTCCTGATATGAATCCTATAGAGCATCTATGGGATGAGTTGAAGAGGCGTGTTCGAGCTCATCATCCTGCCCCGCAAACCATGCAGGAGCTCAAAAATGTAATTTTGGAAGAATGGGAGGACATTCCTTAACATGTCATAACGACATTGATCGATTCTATGCCAAACCGTATGAGAGCTGTCATAAATGCACTGGGAGGCAATACAACTTACTAAATAAACATGTCTTTATTTAAAAATCGATTAGATTTTTTTCCTTGAAAAAAGCAAATATGGACTTGTTTAAACGTAACTCGACTTTTTTAATAAACTGTAGTTCAAATTTAGAACAGTGGCACTCTAAATGAATGATGAATATACCAGCTCCAAAACTGCATCAAAACATTTTCCTTCTACATACATCTTTTATAAGTTACAGTACTCCAAACCAAAAAAATCAAGGTGGCTCGATTTAGATGTTCGGGAGTGTATTATCAACAAACCGATAAAATGAGTCATCGAAGTAGCTCGCACTCTTTTAGAGTATCAGAGTCTGGTATTGGTGCTTACACTACTTGGTATTGTTATAACTCTTTTTTTTTTATTTCGTCAATACCGTTAAGTAGTTCTTGATAATGATTTCTACCTACTTCTATGTGCAATTGTACACATATAGTTCAGACAGATCTTTCATTTAAAAAAATTAAGTCCAAACTATTTTTTTAATAAGCAGTTCATTGTATACTATTGTACATTAATTTTGATTTTTTTTTTATTAAAATTAAAGATGTTCTTTGGCATATTATTATATAAGCTACACGAACAGACGTTTTGACTTAAGTTTTCGTTGAATACCTTTTAGGGTTCCGTTACTTGACCCTACTACTAAATTCCACTGTCCGTCTGTTTGTCAACCACCCTGTATTTTATGAACCGTGAAGATAGTTGAATTTTTCCCAGATGATGTATTTCTGTTGCCACAACAGCAAATATATTAACGGAATAAAATTAATACTTAAGTGTGGATCCCATACAAAACAAACGCTTTCGATTTTTTTGGCCTTTTTTGTTCGATATTAATAATGGCAACACGTAGTAGACCCTTGAAGTGAATACTTAGAACATTTAGTTGTATATTCACTTTAAAAATTATTAATTAAATAAATATTATTATTAGGGCAAAAAATCAAAACACGGCAAAAATCACGTCTGTTGTATGTAGGGTTGCCAACCCTACTATATAATATAGTATCCTACTATATTAGGGGATCAAATACTATATTTCTAATAAAAATATATAGGTAGTAGGCGAAACTACTATATTTTGGGCCAGTAAAAGCATTCTTAGAAATAAATAAAAAATTAAGGCATTTCCATGCCTTGAGCAAAATTATATTCATTTTAAAAATAAAGTAGATATTTTAACCACATACTATATTTTTTCCCATATTTTTGCCATCTACTATATTTTTAGAAAAAAAGTTGGTAACCCTAGACAATATACTGTCTAATGTTGTATAGATAATGGTAGTGAACCCTTCGTGCGCGAGGCCGGCCGTACTTGGTCGATTTTTAATGTATGCTCAATGACGAACAATAAACAAAGGACAATGGCGAAATCCCATACAATTTTTTGTTGGAATTTTTTTTTACGTCTGTAAATGAATTGCATTTTAAATTAAAGAGTTTGTATTCTCGATTTGATTCGTCTTATTTCTTTTATTATAAGAAGTCTAGATTTATAGATATTCTACTTGGAAGTTTTGAAGGTTATGTCATACCAAGTAATACAAAAACGAATTATAAAAAATTAAAGTATTTTCAAGAGTATTTTTATATCAGAATAAAAAATACTTTTAACGGACCTATAGAAATAAACCGGTCACGTAGATTAGTGACGAAAAAAAATGTTTTTTATAATGTATGATCAGTGGACGTAGGTACTGACCAACCGCGTCAAAATACTTAATAATACTTAACACACAAGGGTTATTGAGTTCGAAGACAATGTCTGTACTGTAAGAAGTACTTAACAATTTAAAAATGCCCACAGCAATAATAAAGTAATATATTAATATTAAAAAAGGATTTCTAATAGTGTACTAATGGGATATTAATTAAATATGAAACACTTTTTATGTATTTTTTATACCACATCTTTGATCACAATATCGTAGATAGTAGATACAATGAAATAAAATCCACAGTTTAAGACAGAATCTTGTCCAAAATCCACAGCAAGAAGTCGTTCAAAATATCAGATTCGGAAGTCTTAGGCCCGTATTACAGAATGACAACTAAGTGTCGATCTTTACTTGAGCACAGTTAGAAAGGGATGGCGCTATGTGCTATACAGAGCGACATCCCTTTCTAACAGTACTCAAGTAAAGATCAACACTTAGTTGTTATTCTGTAATACGAGTTTTAGGCAAGCAAGACGAGCAAGAAAGTAAACAGCAGTTGAAAAAAATATTTGTGACGATATGTCTAAAGGAAATAACAAATATTTGTTATTTCTTGATTATAATTATTCGCAGGTGATGAGCTGACAACAAATTTATCTAAATGACACTTGCATGCTTATTAAAAACATGTTAATTACACTAGGATTTTAATTTATTTTCATCAACATTACATCGCATCGTTATTATCTTTGTTTTTTTCTTTTAACGATAATACTTTGTCTTTTAACGATGATGTTTTATCGTAAAAACCTCTTGTCTGTTTTACATGCAAAAGACACCATTTCTATTTTTAAAACTTAAAGTATTCATAAGCACGGAATTATATGCTCTTTGTACTGCTTCTTTAGTGCAATGTTCTTTCGCAAAAAAATCGAAATTGAAGTCTCGAGTAACTTTAAACTCCCAAGTTTCATCAATCAAGGTTTTAACAAGCACTGGTAGAAGTCAAAAGGCTTCTTTGGACTGATTCAAGCGCATTTACAAATTTTGTATTAAAGCGTTATAGCTATTAACGGAATTGTTACCGTGTACCTTGTTTTTTATTAGTCTCCGATATTTCGGCAATAAATAAAAACAAGGTACATGGTAACAATCCCGTTAATAGCTATAATGTTAGTGACCATGAAAGTTTAAAACAATATATTGTATTAAAACGTCTTTGTAAATCATTTTTGTGTTGCCCATTTTAAGCTGTGGTGTGCCAATCGAAACTTTTGAAAATTTCTTTACTGTAATTGATAACGCACTTCAATTGTTAAATAGGTTTGCGTGACTTCCGTTATCTGCGACAAAGAAGTTCCATGAGACATTCAAATATACTTTAGCCTTATAACAAAAAAAAAAATAGCCGAGTATTGAACTCGGGTTTAAAAAGACAATGGGCCTGATTAAACTCTAAACTAAATTTGGCAATAGTCTTTTTTCTGTACAGAGCAAGGCAAAGGATACACTTTCACATTTTCATTTAATTTTTACAAAATCAGCACATATATAGCTTAGTTAGCCACAAAAAAGTTACGACAGTGCGTATTTTTTTTATAAAACCATTTGCATATCGTGAAATTGTAACAATCTAATTTGTCTATTTTCCTTTTGCAGTGTGATGTACTCGTACTACGCGCTAGTAAGCATGGGCAAGTACCCGCCTCGGGCGTTCGCGATGCTTATCACTGCCTTGCAGCTCACGCAGATGGTCGTAGGCTGCGCCATCAACATATGGGCCGCCAACTACATAGCCACTGCCCCGCCTCACACCTGCCACATCAGCAACATCAACCTCAAACTCTCGATGGCCATGTACTTCTCCTACTTCGTTCTCTTCGCACAGTTCTTCTACAAGGCCTATCTCTCCTCGAAACCGGGTAAGAAGGCCAAAGTGGAACCTTTACCCGAAGCGCCACGGATGAAGAAAGTCGCAGCTCAGTACGAAGCGTTCCCGCGGCAAAGGAACGGCGTGGTGGCGCACTAGTCGCCTTGTGATAGTTAGCTTAGTGTACGGGTCACGGCTGTGTGCTGGGCTTTGCCGTCTTTCAGGCTTTAATCGTATTCCTCATGTGAATCTTTCTCTTTCTACCACATACAAGTATCGGTCTCTAGAGCGAGACAGATTGCCTAATGCGGATCAGAGTTAGCTCCGTTCTCCACAGCGAGAACATAGCTAACGCGGTAACTTGTATGTGGTAAAAAGAAGATTAACAGGAAAATGTCAAAGGACACGCCTAATGATTTATGGTAACTTACCATTAACAACTTTAACTCTCAATCGGGCGTCGTTTTTGATTTTTCGATTGTTTGAGTGCTAGCGAATTGGTTTCGACTAGACTAGTCGATCCCGTTCGAGGGTTAAAGTATTCGTCTCGGATGACAGTCGAATGTCAAGGTCGATGTAAGGAAACTTCTGCGGGTGACGGCTACTGTTAGTGCCATTAGTGCAATTAACACACAATCGTGCGAATCGCATAATCTATCGATTGGATAAAATCACTATTGATTCGTCGACGTCGATCTTGTAATTTATGCTTTTAATATTGTTTGCCTTTAAGAATATTTTATTTATTATTGGGCGTAGTCAAATATTCAGAGAGGCTTCCAACTGGTTTATCAATAAAGTGATTTTAACTGTATAGGTTGACGTTAATTTAACATCGGAAACAAACATAAACCGGTAACATCACGAACCTGTTAAATGTGTATCACGCATATGTCTTTATAATGCTCGTGATATTGGCACTTACACGTGTTGTGGTAAATGTACCTCGCTTTCTATCAAACTTTTGTAAATTCTAAGGTTCACCTGTAGCAATTTCGCTAAGTCTCAATTTAACTAAAACTAGATTTAGCCCATACGCTATTGTCAAATTGGCATTGAAGTTTTGTCATTTTTCTATGGGAACACTAAGTTTTGACGTGATAACGTCTTATAAATCGATGAACACCTGAGCCTGAACGTGCAAGCGAGAGCGCGGAACATGCGATAGAAACGCACGATCGGCCCAAGCGTCGGCTTGTACACATTTATCTCTCTTCTCGCGTGACGTCAGAGCTAGCAATTATCATAATTAAGTTTCTTTATGACGTTATCACGTAAAACTAGTCCGTAAACCGACTTTACAGACAACCACTTTTCTGATGGTAAACTAAGTTTTAGTTAAATCGAAATTTAGCAAATTAGCTGCAAATGGGCCTAAATCTATTTTAATAAAGCTGAGAATTTACTCTTTGACGCGTTGAAGTTTTCAGGTCTTCATTTGTTTCTGTATCGCCTATCTTAAATTCGACCTTCCGACTGAGACGTTAAGGCTGGTTTTCGAATGAAAATACGAGAACCAATGATTCTTCTCGGGCGCTGAAAGCAGCCGCTTACATTCCAAGAGTGCGTTTTGAAATTTTTTATAAAAATCTGAATATTTCAATATAGCAAGACAGGAAAAGCCATGGAGAGACCAATTCGATAATGATTTTATAGGCATAAATTTAAAATATCAGCCATAGACAAACACTCTTTGCGACAGTCATCTCAACACTCGTTCAGGATTTTTATCATTAATTGGATAATGGGCGGTAACAAAAAATACAGCAAGTAGGTATGGAAATTGTTGAAAATTCATACCTATACAAATGCAATTCTTTATTTTATAATGTAAAGTATACCCAAGCAAAGTAGGGAATATTCAACCATAATTATTAAGTTTAAGTTGTCATAATTATGATGTCAGTGTAATTAATACTATACAATAAATTGAAGTTTTATTAGTTTAACGTTTCATTATTGAATTGGTCTCGTCGCTGCTCTTCTGTCTGTTATTTTTATTTACCTACTTAAGTTTTATTAAAAATAAAGCCAAGTACTGCTATTAGCAGTTGTATTAATTAGCTCTGGGGTTAGTTGGGTCAACAGAAATAGTAAAGGAGTACCGAAATCTATTACGCAACATTTTTTTTCTTCTAATCATAATATGGTGGATACCCCTAAGAATGTAAAGGCGATGTCCATTTGCTCCGCGAATGCCACTCTTATTTGGGGGCTTTTAAAGTCGTCAACTAAGATTAAAACAGATAACTAACATTAAAAGAGATAGTGATTAAAATTTAATGGCTGATGTAAAGTTAGCAGCGAACGCAAAGGAACTACGGTCAAGTAGAACCACTAAAGGATCCATTCTTTTCTTCATACAACTCTGCCATAATTTGTACCTCAAGTATTATCATGCATTTATGTGTAGAAAAATACGCCGAATTCAACAAAATATAAATGGAATTTTTATTATCCACTTGTACCAGATAAAAATGTCTTTCAAACAACAAAACACAGATAATATATTATGGTAAATATGGTAATAACTTTTACCTACGGACATCACGTGATTTTTGATGGAACCAATCACAATGAAGGAAATGAATTTAAACCAATAGTTTTAGCTGTCATCTGTCAGGCAATGTCCAATTGCGTCTAAGTAATAACGTTTTTTTATACGCAGCATCCCTATTTTATTACAAATTTTCAGCAGTTTTCATTGAATTTATTTTGAGATTTTCGTGAGTTAGTCTTTTTAAGTATAAATTTAGATGTCTTTTTAGAATAATTTCTACAAAGGTACAAATTTGGGAAAATCGAATAATTTCGTTTACTGTGCCGCGACTTGCGCTAACTTCACATCCTCCGTTAAGTTTGCAACGTACTATTTGAAATTATGTATGTCAGCTTCATAACTATTCCTTCGTGTCAAATCCAATGGAAAATTTACCTGTTCAAGTTTGAAGAATAAAATATATCATTGGTTGTTTTTAGACATTGTAAAATTATACTTCAACTGTGGAGTATAAGCAAGTAACTGCGCTTTATATTGTTAAAACTCTTAACTGTTAATTTATTGTTATATCCTTGTGGCCAGCAAAATACGATTTTAAAATTCAGATTAGATATGAGTGCCCTTGGTAAACATTGACAATTCACCTGTTTACGATTAGTTTAGTATTTTAAATGTTTCTTGAATAAATATAAAACATACGAAACGCACTTGTCAAAATTTTTATCAGAAAGTAAACCTGTTTCGGTACCTTCTAAACCCAGTTCCAGTCGACCCGTTTGAAAGAAGTATCATCTTTGTTGTTATTTATGACATTTATTACATAAATGCGAGTGATTTTTTTTTATAAATAATTTATTTGTAAAAGCATAGTTTTTATCAAGGTTAAATAGATTGTAAAGATATTAGTTTCGCTTGTCCGGCCGAGTGGCCCTAGTTTAGAGTACATACTTTGGAACGCTTGTCAAACAAGCGCACAAAGTAAGAGATTTGATTCCTAGTGGAATAAGCAATATTGATTTATGGATAAATTGTGAGTTGGCGAGTTTTTAGAGATAGGGGGGTAATAGCTTGATACACGTTCCGACGAAGTCCTGACATAGCGCAGATAGGACCCCTCATTGTGAACGTTATGTGCGTTAGGATAAAGTTCAAATTTGTAAATGCTTCCACGCGATACGTCGCGTTTCGCGTAAGCTCATAAGGAATGAAAGCGACAGTTTACGTGAGCAAGTAAAGTCGCGGCGCGTCGACATAGACTTATTTAGATATAGAAGTCCCTGAGATGCTGACTTTGGACGCACACAAATTAAGATTTAAGCGTCTTTACAATGTCCAAGTTAGACGACCATTTCTTATAATTACCTAATATTTGTAATGTGTCAAACCATCGATTTGCAGTTTGTGATTCTATGATAGTTAATGCAGTTTAGCGGCTTTTTGCTAGTATACCGCAGGTGTAAAATGTTTGTCGTGCGTAATGTCGAACTAGGCGAAGCGTAACGGAATAACTGTAAGCTATTTACTGTGAGGTCTACTGAACAAAACGTACGACCCTCGTGATCAATTTAGAATAGTTTATAGTCCGGGTCAATTTGGTGTAGCGTCGTTATTCGCTATAATCATTCGATGTACGATGTTAAGAAGGACCTATTTTTTCCAAGCTGTACAAAGTAATTGTTACAATTAGTATCGTATACCATCGTGCTGTGAAATAAATTAAAACCACGGATATATAAGTATTTAAGCAGGTCTCTTTAATACTAAAGAAGCGAAATTGAGGATTACAATTAAAAGAAAAAGCATGTCTGAATATTTTTATGTCTACAGCGAAGGCATAAGTAAGAGAGAAGAAAGTGCATGATGTAGTGTTGGTTCATCCATGGTTTTTTGTAACTAAAAGTCGTTTGACTATGATAGCGAAAAACCCCTAGAACTATAGAAGTCACAATGTTAGGGTAGTATTTTTGAGATAGGCCGTTAATTTATTATCCAGTTGGTTGCTATGTACTAAATTAATTTTTATTACGAACGCGATTTGAAGCCAACGTTGTTTAAAGTAGTTTTAATAGATATTATATTATTACTACAACAAATGTTTCATTCTTATTTGTTAATTTGTAACATAGTGGGTATTAATATACTTAATAATATGTTTGGGATGGGATATAATGTATTTGTAACAGTGCATCGAAGTTCATTTCAAATATTACAATCAAAAAGTACACAATAACTGATACCCATAACAAGTTAATATTCGATTAGACATTAAATTTCATACCTAAATGTAATCTTATTATTTATTTATTATATTTTTTAGGTACTACTGTCACTTTTAAAAGTTTTTGTAAACTCTATTTTATTTTATTATTAATCATTAAAAGTTCATATCTGCATTGTTTTGAGGTCACTTAAAGCGATAATCTGTTGTTACATATAAATCTGTTTTTGTTTTGACATATTTTGTTTGTTTTTTTTTTTTATCGGAAACAGCATGTTACGAACGGTATACAATGTTTTTTATCAGGTTTGTAATTTTAATTTGTATTTCTTATCTACGAATTATTTTGACAGTGGTGTATTCCGAATTTTGGCGACACTGTTTGGTGCTGCATTATACAATTGATTTTGTAGTTTAGCAATTTGTTCTTTTTTAAGTAATTTACTAGTGTTAGTGCACGATTTTATTATGTCATTTTTGTTTATTCAAGTATTGGTTACCTATTTTAAACCCCCTTTCACTTGAGGGGTACACCACTGTCTTTTGGCATTTAATCTCTTGCCCTTTGTTTTCATGCATTTATAAAAAAAACTGTTGTTAATGTTCTGCCTAGTGCGAATTAGCGGTTAACAGTTCCATATTCGATACATATTTTTAAATACATAATTATATTTTTGTGATCGAGATTTTGTCGTTACATTTCCAGAACAAATATAATAATTATAGCACAGGGCGTGCAGTGTATTTATTTACTACTTAAAAAGTGGAATTATTCTTACAACTATTAATTTGTATTTTCTGGGCAAATAAAAAGTTACTGTGTATATTATGAATTGTTTTACTTTATTAAAATACTATGCATGTTTTATCTGTTATTGTTAAGTTCCACTTTGTATTGGCATTGGGTTAATTAATTATTAATGATAGGACTATATTACTACTATACTTCGGGACCCTTTTCTTCTAAGTGCAATATGGCGTCTGTTTACACGAAACAGCAACAGAATTAGACCGACGGTTACGTAAAGGGTACAAGTACTACTGATTACATAGAAATTTAATCATGGTTATTCCTATTCTATTACGATATCCTCAGTTATAGCAACGGAGACCGTTGGGTCCCTCTTAGTGATGAGTAGGATTTACAAGAGGCGGTACATTTGTCCCGGACATGACGTCAAAATGTAAGAGTGGCTCAAAATTTTAAAATGTACTACTTCACATTAAATGTCGCGATAGTCGCGTCTCGTTACTCACTCACTCTTCGTAAGTCTGAGAGAGAGCGAGGCATGACATTTCATTTAAGTCCTCTACGGTACAGTGTAGTAGTACCTATCTCTCTCTTATCTTAGTAGTCTGTGTTACAGTGCGACAAGGATCTTGTGGCGCATCGCATGACACAAACTGGATATAATGCTGTCTCACTGTGTTTTCTGTAATTACTTTGCAGTACAACGCCCTCTTGTCAAAGTCATCCACACGCCAAATAATCCTTGTCACTCGCACTGGGTTGCGTGCAAAACCTACGCTCTAGGTGCAACAAATATCTAAGTTGACATTAGCTTCATACATTTTATGTCAAAATTGAAACGTCAGGGTAAAAGTTGCACTCAGAGCATAGGTATTGAACGCAGCCCAGGGTTGCGTTCAGAACTTACGCTCCAGGTGCTACTCGTGCACACAAACGTAATGTCGAGCTTCTGTACGCCTCAATGTCATATTTGTACTCGTCACTTCAAATGTATTGCCGAGCTTCAGTACGCCTCGCCTCATTTGAAGTGGGACATTGTACTGGCTCAGTACAAAAAAGAGGCTACTGTTACAAACTCTTTTTCAAGTCGTGTCCTACTCCTACCCAACACTAGTCCCTCTTACTGAAAGAACTTGCGAATACCATCCCAGTCCGTCATTGACGGGCTCGGTGTCGCATTGGTAGCGGCCCTGCTTTATGCGCCAAGGGTCGTGGGTTCGATTCCCACCCAGAACAAACATTCATTTGATGAACATTTGTGTTTGTTCTGCGTCTGGGTGTAAATACAAACACAGTCAGGTCATAAGTATTTTCACACAGTAAAAACTTTTCTTTTAGAATGCTGGCCACAAAAAAGTTTATTGAATTCGAATTGTTCATGAAAATAAAAATGTATACTTTTTAGACTCGGAGTGGACGCTTAAAGAAGACCGTGTTGCAGTTATTGCGTTGCATCGTTGCGGTTACGCGCCAATTCAAATTTTTGACATACTGAAAAATTTTAATATAACTAAAAGATTGGTTTATCGTACCATCAAACGATACAATGAAGACTCTAGTGTAGATGATCGGTCAAGAAGTGGTCGCCCTCGGTCTGTTAGGACTCCAGCAGCGATAAAAGCTGTGAAGGCGCGAATTCAAAAATCCAAACGTAAGCAGAAACTGTTGGCAGGGACGGATCCAGAGGTCATGACCCCCGCCCCCCCGAGCTGGGTCCATCTGTACCCACTTCACAATCTATACTCACTGTGACTTAACTACGACTATATTACACCCCCACCCCCCCGCGGCAAAGCTGGATCCGCCCTTGACTGTTGGCCCTTCAGATGGGGTTAAGCAGAACCACGGTGAAAAGGGTGTAAAATGAAGACAAAGGGCTTCGGGCATATAGAAGAAAAACAGGACATCGTTTGAATACTCGTCTAATGGACCTGAGACCGAAGAGATGCCGCGCTTTGTTGAAGCGGTACGCGGGGAAAAAATATCGGGAAATTTTTTATTCGGATGAAAAAATGTTTACCGTAGCTTAGAAGAGAGCTACAACAAACAAAATGATAAGGTGTACGCACACAGTATTGAAGAAGCGAGCAACCGCATTCCGCGTATCCAACGAGGTCATTTTCCATCCTCGCTTATGGTATGGTTGGGAGTTTCTTATTGGAGCTTAACAGAGGTACATTTTTGTGAGAAATGTGTAAAAACGAATGCATTTGTGTATCAAAATACAGTCCCGACGAACCTTGTGGAACCTGTTTCTCAAAACATGTTCAATAACAGGCACTGGGTATTCCAACAAGATTCGGCGCCAGCTCAGAGCGAAGAGCACACAAGACTGAAATAGTCGCTTGAAATCGACTTCATCCGGCACGAAGACAGGCCCTCCTCCAGACCAGATTTGAGTCCGTTAGATTACAAGATATATATGGCAACACTTGGAGGAAAAGGCGTGCTCAAAGCCTCATTCTAATTTGGAGTCACTCAAGACATCCTTGATTAAGGCAGCCGCCGATATTGACATGGACCTCGTTCGTGCTACGATAGACGACTGGCCGCGCAGATTGAAGGCCTGTATTAAAAATCACGGAGGTAATTTTGAATAAATTTTATTGTCATAAGAATCTATGTTTTATTAAGTTCATTTTGGTATATAAATGGTTACATAATGAATAAACTTGTTTCAATTATTTTATATTAAACATCTGACAGAATTTATGACCTGACTTGTTATATTTATTTATTTATATACTTGTAATATCACTGTTGATTCTGATATCCGTAACATAAGTGCTTTAGCTACTTATCTCGGATTCAGATCAATGTATGTGATGTTGTCTGATATTTATTTATAGTCTTCCGACACGTAGTGCCAGATCCTGCCTTTGATTACCGCTGATCCCGGAAGCTTGGCCTACGACACCTTGCTAGGTACCGGGCAGTGATCTGTATCCCAAACATGAACATTAACAGATTCATAATGGTATCGTTATCGTCAAATTTTGTACTGGAAGGAGCCAGTTTCTACTTATAGCTTCTTAGTTCGGTAGGGGCGCTGCTTAGTTTTTATAGAAACTAACGATACGACTACCGAGCTGTCAAAGTTTGTGCTTAGGCCCCTGCTCTGACCCTCTGAATAAGTATCATGGAAATGACACGAAAACAATTTGGTATATAAATTACAAGAACAGTGTTGTCTCCTTTTTACATTCCTATTACTGCATATGAAAAAGACACCAGCACTCTATTTCGCAATATCCGCTACAGTAGTGACAATCTTTATCGGTAAGTAACCCATTTAACTAGAAATTGCTACTTTTACAAAAAGTTAATCATGAAACTATATTAAAAATACAGCTTAAGAAACCAAAGGCTACAGGAACCAAAGCCTGTTGCCTTTCAACGAATTTTAATTTAGTTTACAATAGTAAGCTAGCAGGGCTAGTGTTTTACCCCCTCATCGATCTCGGTCTTATCGATATTTTATTTCCCTTTTTTTAGTTTGCCTCGAACAGTACTAATAACTCGCAACAGTGTATTAACCCTACGAATTTATACAATTTATGAAAAACAATAAAGTAACATAACTAATTCAATATTTAATAATAAAAAAATATATAAAACTTAGCATCTAGTGAAGGTACCTTAGTATAGACTTCTGGGTTTCAAAAAACCGCTTATTCACTAGATACCTATAGTTTTCATATTTTCAAAAATTGTATACAGCTCCTTAGCGGACTGCGCTTGCACCCGAAATACCTTGCTACATTTTCCATACATCCTGAAAAGGATGCGAAGCATCAAAAATACAGTGAAAAAGTATAAAAAACGCAAATGCGTTAGTAAAAGTATAAATATACTCGTTCAAAACTTGTTTCATTTAATGAGTGGTGTGCGTGAAAACTTAAAAACATATATATTTTCAAATGTTTAATACTTGAAAAAGTATTCATTTGTCATTGTGGGATACCTACAATGCGAAGAGATGGCGCTGCCTTGCAGCTTAAGGCTAGGAAAATTTCGACGCGGGTAATAGGGCCGTGGTAGCATAATGGTCAGTGCATTCGCCCGGATAGCGAAGGATGCGGGTTCGAGTCCCGTCCGCTGCCTGGTCCGCGTGGATTTTTTTCTAGTAAACTTTTTTTTAGATTTAAACATCTAGCAGTTAAAAGCTTAAAAAATAAATAAAATCATAAATATATTTTGTTTTGTTTTCTGTATCAGACCTGTCAACCATCCTGCACAAATAAATCTCATACATCCGTATATACTTAGACTGACCTTGAAACGGTTAGCTGTTTAGCGATAAAACCGTCTGGTCGTAATTATTACCTTTAGCAAATTTTCGAAGTTACATTAAATTTGTCTCCTGTAAAGTAGTATTGAAGTGAACCTTGGACATTATGTCTTATATACATGCTCATTTATTTTGAAAATTGATTATTATTATTGTATATTTATTGTTTCCTATTTTATATTATGTTATAGAAGTTGACCTCAATAAATGTGTATAAATTTAATGTCAGCTTTCAATTTAACGATACTGTATGAAATAAAACAGATACTGGTGCCAATTCTGGCGTGATTCTCTAAACTTAAAACTAAATTTAACAACAGTCTCTCCTTTTCATTCTGTATAGAGAATGACAAGGATATACTGCTGTCAAATTTAACTTTATGTTTAGAGATACATGCTAGAGTCGACACCACTATATGAGATAAGAAACGCCAATCGAATAATTTTAATCGAGTGTTTCTGATCAAAAGTTGAGCCATCGCGAGTTCAGAGGCGATTTTTTAGATGCAGGGTGTTGTAAAGATTCTGGTACTTATCAAGATAATTATGAAAAACATACAAACAGAAAACGCTAAGAAAAAGAAATAAAATGTAAAAAATTACATTGTTATTCTTAAATTTTAATTATTGTCAGCTCTCAGATTGATTAATGAATGAATCTTGTTATAATCAATTGTTTTTATGTTTTGGTTCAAGCATTAATTTTCTGTGAATAAGCTTGACCCTATGGAAGAAAAAACCCATTGGCTGTATGCTTTCATTAGCTCTTGTCTTGAATTTTAAGAATTAAAAAAAAATCTGTCTCGCCTGACATTGACATTTCGTATAATTTTGCGTGTGCTTTCCTTAAAGTTTGTTTTTGCAAATTTTATAATGGATTTTATTGATACCGATATCAGACAGTGGGATGCTAATGAAGTAAAAGAGCACTTTGGGGATAGTCTGACCCTTCTTCCATCAAACGACAATATTAAGGAACTCCAAACCATACTGAGAGACAAGTAAGACAGTTTTAGGTTACAAAAAACGTGAACTTCCTGGCAAATTGTGCTTGATCATATTGTAATGCAAAACTCTGTAGAAAATCAATACTTTCTTGGGTTTTCAGAAACACAACTAGAAATGACTTCAAGTTTTACGCAGATCGTTTAATTCGTTTAGTGATTGAAGAAAGTCTTAATAAGTTGCCATTTACTGATTGTGAAGTTATTACACCTACAGGAGCTCTCTACAAAGGTTTGAAATATGGTGCAGGCAACTGTGGAGTATCAATTGTGCGATCTGGAGAAGCAATGGAACAGGTGAGTGGTTTTTTATTCCATCTTTTATTGGTATTAAATAGACTTAGGTTAATGCATTGGCAAACAAGCATATGGCCTGTCTGATAGTAAGTAACTACCATAGTGTATAAACACTTGCAACACAAAAAGTATCAGTAACGCCGTTGCCTACCCTGCCCAATCCCAATAAAAGTTAAAGAGAACAGTTGTAAATGCAATCTAATTATTAAAGTTACAATGAAAAGTAATTTTCCTCTAATTTCGTTTGTTGTGTTTCGGAATGTAATGTAAACAGTAAAACATGTTTTAAAAAATCAACATGTGTTCTATTTTTAAACAAGTTCTACCAACTTATTTCAGGGTCTCAGAGACTGCTGTCGATCAATCCGCATTGGCAAGATTTTGGTTGAGAGCGATACTGATACACATGAGGCGCATGTAGTATATGCCAAATTCCCTGAGGATATAGCAAGAAGGCAGGTGCTGCTTATGTACCCCATTATGTCCACAGGAAACACAGTTAAACAGGTATTGAATATATACAACACCTAGACTAAAGTTAAACCTGGACTAAAAGTGATGGACTTGGACTTATGTTATCTTAAAAGAGGACAGACAATATTAGGTTTAAACCAAGACTAACTTTACTTGGCGTTTTGGAATATGGGGGTAAATGTTGATTACCTTTTAACTCCTAAGTTAAATGTTGAAAAAATGGACAGCTGGAATTATCAAAACTGTGACCATATATTAATTTAATTCTAATTTATTCTATTGTTATCGCCAAGAAAATGCAATATCAGCTTTGATACAACTAAAAGTTATTTGAGTTGCTGAGTGCTGTTATAAGTTCTATTTAGAAAAAAAAAACTGATTTTTTTATTGATCATGTTCAAGTTCTAGAAATTCATTAGAATGATGTTGTTACTAACAAATGTGATAAACATGATACAGTAGATGGACACAGTAAAATTTTCATCACATTTTTAACAAAAACATTTACTTAAACTGCCAAAAAACCAAATAATCACATTTCCCTATTACTTTCTAGGCTGTGAATGTATTGACCCAACATGGTGTAAAGGAAGAGCGGATAATTCTTTCGAATCTTTTCTGCACTCCGGCGGCTGTGCAGGCTGTAGTAGACTACGTTCCCAAGATGAAGATCCTCACCTCGGAGTTACACCCAGTCGCACCCAACCACTTTGGACAAAAGTACTTTGGCACAGACTGATCCGAAGACGAAGAAGGTTAACCTTTTGAAAGCCACATAAGCATTACAATGGCTTTTTTTTATATCAAGAAAAGACGTTTCGTCTCCCTTAATTTTGGGAGTAAAGCAATCAGGGTATCTGAAGACTCCTCCCTGCTCATTTTATCCAGCCCCAAAGACTCAATGAAATGAGGAGGGCCCTACACAATAAAAGCATTACAATGGCCTGAACACCTAGTAACAAATGCAGTGCAAACACCAGTAGACTGGATACTCCAAAATGAAAATTGATCTATAAAGGTGTGAATTTTGTCATCGTATTGTCTGCAGTGGTCTCTTGTGATGTGGTTATAAATTTTATCTTAGTGAATGTATAGATACTGCTTAGATTCCAGTGTATTTCTTGCTCTGTTTAAAATCGATGCATACTGGAGTGTGCCCATTTTGTATATCATACGGATTGGATAACTTTTCGTCCAATCCATACTTAGTCCCAAGTATTTACCAAAATGAAACTTTTACTCTTGTTTAATGGTCTTAAATTGACTATAGAATAAACTACCATGTGCATAGAATTTAGAAAGTAAGAATTAGAGTTTTTGTATTTATGATATTATGATTCATTAGATTAAAATTTAAGAAAACAACAGAATAGAATTATCGCTATGGTTTTAAATAAAGTATGAAATTTAGATGTGTAATTGCTGTCTAGTAAGGTAGAAAGAAACAGAACATTTTTTGTGTGTCTGTTGGTAGAATATTGTGAATTCTCAGAATGTATTACTAACAATTTTTTTACTATTTGCAGCTTAATAAAGTAAGCGGAAAATGATATTGAAGCATTATATACTGTTTTCATGCTTTTTAATTTGTAGTATTCATAACATTAGTTTTTTTAGGTTATACTAGGTTATATTTTATGCTCTATGTATTTATAGATACGTGTGCACTTTAAGCTTGAATTACACCTAAGATTATGTACTTATAATAATGTAAAAAATATATATTGAAAAAATTATACCTTCAAAAAATATGTACAACATGAGCCTTGGAACAAGGGCATTGCAAAAAGATGTTAAAATAGTAAATGTAAAAATTGTTTAGAATAGGGTATTTGACAAGTTTTAGAAAACGATCTCACGTTATTGACTAATGTTTATGGAGTCCGTAAAAAGATGGATGGAAATACACAACAGAATGATGAATATCCATCATTCTGTTGTGTATTTCAGTAAAAATAACCAAATCAAAAACTCAATTTTCAAGTTGCCGCGGAAACGTTTTTCTGGACAATATGGCGTCTTACTAGTGTGTGACGTCACACGACGGATATATAAACGTCAAACGATACAATGTAATGTCACTTTAACCGGAAGTTTACTTGCGTGTGACGTTATTTTAGCCTCCTCCAATCCCAAGCGTTTTGGGTCACGTGACAATAGATAAGAAAACTATTTACTTTTTCGTGGGTTTTAGTAAAATTATAAATATTTTTGTTGTAATAATAGTGAAACCCTTGCCAATATTCATTCTAAACACAGATGCTAACAATTGGCACTTTATTTTTAATACTGTCAAATACCCTATTGTCTTCTGAATCGTTTTCAATACTGTAACTGTGATTTTCATTCATAAGATTGTAGCTGATTATATTATTTATTATCGTCTTGGACAAATTTTATTTTATAGACTGCATTCTTCAATAAATGTTTTTTCATCCCACCACCTCGGAAAGTGTAATTTTGCGCTTCGAAATCTGGCTGGAAAATTCTATTTTATTCGCTTGAGCGGCAAAGTAGATTTGAATTTAGAACATCACATATAATGAGTACTCAATATAATTGTAAATTCAAAACGTCATTAAACCTATTTAATGTAACCTCTATGGTGCCAAATTTATGATTAGAACTTTTTAAATTGTGAAAAAATTTAAATTTGGAACCTTCTTGGTTTCTTTGTTTTATTTGCGTGCTTCGCGCCATTCTAGTTTTTCACGTTTTATTGCTTAAATATTTTGTCATTATAAATTGTTTTCTTTTTCATTTTGTCATTTCCTCGCTGAGGTGGGATGAAAAGTTACGTATTGCACTCGAGTGGAAAGATTTTTCACCTTGTGCTCGTTTGTTTCCCTCGCTGACGCTCAGGATTCTAATTTAGAATCACTCGCTGCGCTCGTGATTCAACTTTAGAATCCTTCGCTTGCTCGGTCATCCAAATCGAGCACGCGGTTAAAAAGGAACTTTCCACTCTTGTATAATAAATAACTATTATTATGTGCTTTTGAGTTATATTCCAAATCTTTTTGGCGTTATTTTAATAGAACTCTTACAGTCGCACTCAAACTTCAATTAATTTTTAAGTTTGACCAAGGGACATTGTTCTAATTTGTATAGAGGGAGGTAGTCAGTCTGCGGCAGACTCCAAATTTTTAGGAGATTTAGGGCATCTCAATTTTAAATCGTTTGCCAAAAAACAAGAATTTATTTTAACCCCGTTTTTTTTAAATAATTATTATAATATAAAATCATATAGTTGTTGATTCACTTAAATCGTATAGTTTTTGATTACTTCATGAGTCATATTACGGCAAGTTTATTTATCTATTTTCGTTGCCAAAGCATCAAATATATTTTATTCAATATGTAACTAAGGCAGCGATAATGAATCAGTTCATCTTTCACTACATTATAAGGTATTTTGTGGGTATTTTATTTCTAGAGGAATCAATCATCAATCGGCATAATAATTCCACCACGATTTCACGAATATCATGCAATGCATGACGAGTTTGGACTGATTGACATTTGTCATAGTGATTAAGTTGACATTATAAACTGCCATACACTAAAAATATGACGTTGATTATGACAGGGTTTGTTCAATATTGAAACCCGAATTAAAATTAATCGGAGATAAACTTAAATTAAAATAAAGAGACGTGTTCGTGTGAGAGTTGCTTATGTAGTTGAGTCGGATCATATTTTATTTGAAGCTAGTATGAGCGTATCGTATTTTCCCTTTTTGTTTTAATCTAAGGAGATAAATACAAAATGTATGTACATATCTGTTCATGTTATAATCACGTTATAATATAAAACAAGCTTTCAAATGATATGTTTCGTTGCTGTCGGAAACCGACTACCCCTTTTGAACCATCTCCTTTATTGCTATCGCTGTCTTTGCGATAACAATAGAATGCGACAACATGTGACTTATGTAGCATCAAATTAATTAGATGTTTCTGAGTACTCCTGTTCGTGTTTTGCTAATATCGTAATCGTCTTATTCTTCATAGGTTGCGTGCATCAGGAACAAGGATCGGGTTAAATAATAACTAACAATAAAGTTAATTTTATTCATTTATTTCAGTTTCGTAGTTTATACAATCTATAGGTAGATAGATACAAAGATTTATTAAGATCAGATCACACAGCTAAGCATTTTAAATGTACATTATTATAAAATAATAATCAACATTCGAATAATTTAAACCCTTAACAAGTTACCCTTATAAAAATGTTCCCCAGTCATTTCGTGGTCGGTTCGCTTATGCGATCTCAAAACACAGATGTTACTCAACTATATACGAGTCTAATGCTATTATTTATTATTAATAACTTGTAAAAATATCGTAAACATTCAATTACATTATTGTAAAACAAGTGATGCCTATTCGAGAACAAAAATATTTTATATTAATTTTTATATATTAGTAAAATCTAGATGACTTCGCGTCAATTAAAAATATGTTAGAGTGGCTGCCGGCGGCGATCGGGCAACACTGGTTCTTTGCCATGGCAACGCCGCCGGACTTGTAATAAGTGCGTACTTCCGTTAATATAAAATAAATACTTAAACGTACAATAATACATTACTCTGTCAATGGTTTGCTTAAAACTATGTTACGCAATTTTAACAATGACAAGCACTTAGTTTAATTACATTTCTTTTGGAAATGTCTAGTAATAAAAACATGAAGTCTGGCAACCCAGACTTTAAGATAATGACGTAGTTTATGTAACCATATACATACAAGTATATACCCTTGAAATTGACTTAGATATGTTATTAAGGCATCGTGTGAACCGCACTAGGTAAATTGACAATAATATCTAAAGGACTAATACAACAGCCAAAGCGTATTCTTATGGCAATCAGCATGTAGGTAATATTAATAAATATATAAATAATAAATAGACATTTGTGGGTGAAATAATCCAAGGTATATTAGTGACACTATCTCAAATCTAGACAGTCAAAATATATAAATAAAACACCTTAAAGAAAATTTCAATAGAAAAGAGAAGCATATAATAACTTCAACAAGTACTCCTAATATATATTTGTGCATTCACATTTTTTTGCTTTTTATTACTCTTATTAATATTAATAAATATTTATTTATATTTTTTTGTATAAAAATATCGTCAACAACGCTTCTAAGTAACAAGTAACTAAAATGGACCTTACGGATGTGAACTGGTCCGCAAGGTCATCAAAACTCATCGGTCGAGGCGTCTTGCTTTCTGAACGCGCACCAGTCTCTGGCGTTAGCGACTAACGGGAGGATTGTGTTTTCGCTGCACAAGCACAAAAATCTCGGTCAGTCACATCGTGTAATGGGATGAGGAGGGGAAGTTTCCCCTGTCCCCAGTAGTCTTACCGAGTGTTCTTACTAGTTGAACTACTGGGAATTTCCTTCCCAATAGACTTGCCAGTAAGATCACTGGGAACTTTATACCCAGTAGACTTACCAGTTAAACAAAACTCCCAATAGTCCTACTCTTATGTAGACCTAGCTAATTGATAGACATCCTTCATAGTAAACTTGAATGTATGAACCAAGATAAAACATTTGCTTGACTGACATCTTGATCAAATTGCAATTTTGAAAAAAGAGAAGTTATGGATTTTTGTTTGTTTGGTTCAATATGTCATTTTATTTGTTTTAATAATTAATTTTATTTCGTTGAAATATATTTGTTTTGTTCTGAAATCACTCGAAACAACAACTAATGAAGTACTTATCATTGAGTTCGCTATTTTTTGTTTTGGAAAAAAATGCAATTATATCTTATTTTTTATTTTTTTCTCTTAGACTTAATAAAGCTACTATCTATCAATTACGAGGGAATTGTTTTATAAATTTTGACAAAGTAAAACTATTGGGAAAAAAATCACCAGCGTCTTACTACCAGTAAGTCTATTGGGAAGGAAATTCCCAGTAGTTCAACTGGTAAGACTACTGGGAACAGTGGGGAAAATTTGTACTCATTGAATGATTCCGAGTCTTATGATGATTAGGAGGGAGTGGGTGAGGCGAGAGACGTAAGCGTTAGAGCAAGCGGTGGTGTGGTATTTACATGAGCTTCTGTTTGGCGCACTCGGGACAGATGATGTCCTGGCCGTCGGTGATGAAACCCTTGCCGACGAGAGACGTCTTGCACTGCGCGCAGATGAAGCAGTCGTTGTGCCAGTGTCGGTCCTCGAACGAGATGAAGCGGGTGCCGCCGATGCCTGCGATAGAACAGAGAAACAATCGGGTTAGTTAGTTATATTAAGGTGGCAAAGAAGTATATCGTCCGCCTGATGGTAAGCTGCCATCATTGCATATAGACGATGCGATATCAAGGCTATCATTCGCACCTTTGTCTACCCTGACCCTATCTCCTGTCCGTGGAGTCCAACCTAAAGGTAACAGTTCTTTTAGTTTACTGTGGTCTTTTGTAAGGAGGAGGTTACTTCCCCAGATGGGCTCTTCAATTCGAGCGGGATTTCCGCTACCATAGCGGCAGCCCTACCTCTCTTAGGCCCGTATTATAGAAAGATCCTCAGTGATTGATCTAGTCTTGAGCGTAGTCAGTAAGGGATGTCGCTATATATAGCACATAGCGATATCCCTTTCTAACTGTACTCAAGTAAAGATCAACACTTAGTTGTCATTCTGTAATACGGGCCTTAGTTTCCCTTAAGAACTGTCTGAGAAGTGTGATGATGAGAGACAGAGATTTCGTGCAATAGGTATTTTATTTGTTAATTAACTCATCGTTGAGAGAGATATTTGAATTGGATTGGTTCATCATCAGTTTCCTCTGCTTATTTTATGTCTCCATTGCTAAAGCGCAAGTTTTCTTCAGAGCTCGAGATAATGTGTTTGGTTACTCATCTGTAGAACAGGTCCCGATGGCTTACCCCAAGGCCCAGTGTACATTGGTGGGTGGCTTACTACTGCAGATGCAACCGAGACTAATGGCTCAACGGAACACGGAAGAGCTCGAGTGAGATAATGCTTAATCAAGTATGCTATGACCGCATTGGAAAAAAAATAAGAAACAGTCGTCATATGCGAAGCTGAAGGGAAGCAAGAATGGGCAATGCCTTCCATAGAAATTTTCTCCCTGCACACCATAAAATTAAAATTTTGAAAATTTAATTCACTGTTTCAAAATTTATTACAGAATAAATGTTACTTCAACTCAACTACTGCAGTACCCTCCTTAGTAAATACCCCTAGCCAATATCGGTAGGTAGGCTATGCATCGAGGACTCACCAGTGATGGGCTTGCTGCAAGACGTGCATCTCTTGGCGAACAGTTCTCCGAAGCACTCGGCGCAGTAGGGCTTCTCGTCGCGCGACGTGAACCGCTGGCCGGCTAGGGAGGTGTTGCAGTTGGTGCATGTGAAGCACTCGCGATGCCACGGCTCGTTCTTGTACGTCACGCCGCCTTGCGTGATGATCTGGAGATGCGAAGGAGAAGTTAGGTACAATATTATTATCACATTTAGCTTAATAAACTAAATTTTTGGGTAAGATTATTCTCATAAAACCATGTTAATTAAAACATGCGAAAGCTTATCATCCATGACGATGGTAAGAAGAGAAACAACACAATTTCTCGTTATGGTATGGTATGAAAGTAACAGCGGGTACTCCTTGCGAGGTTAGCCATTATAGATTCGTCATTACGAGAAATAATTATAGAGCGACATTAGTAACGACTCTTTATTTAGTAGATTTTACTTGTGTCTTAGTTGTACAATAATTTCCCAAAGAAAGCCTAGTTCTTCCATAGATTTGTTACTATCTGTAAGGGATAGAAACCTGGATAACATCGGCCAGTGAAGACGGAATATCGGAATACCTTGGACATTTTATTATTATTTATAATTAGGTAGGGAAATGACCCAAGCCCTCCTGATGCATACTGGTGGTAGAGAGAGTTGAAACGTGAGGATAGCTTATGCAGCAGTTGCTCTACCACACCAGGCATCCTCAACTTGGTAGCCTAACCAAATGCTTCTTAACGGTAATATGCGCGGTAGTTGCAGAAATCTTTGCCAATTCACACTACTTTTAGACGAGTGTTCTAAAAAGGGAGGGAACATTAGCTGCCCTTGGAATAATTCTTACCTTGTTGCACTTAACGCAGCGGGTAGCGAACTTGTCCTCGTAGCAGCCGGCGCAGTAGATCTCCTGCTCGCGCGGGATGAAGCTCTTCGTGCCGATGGGGTTCTTGCACACCACGCAGCAGAAGCACTTCTCGTGCCACTGCCGGGTCTTGTACTCCATCTTCTTGGTGCCTGTTTAACAATAGAGAGGATTTTAATCTCACATCTTTTTGTCTGCATTGGGGTTGTAAACGTAAGTTCGTGAATGAATTAATTAATGGTGTAGCGGATGACCTGCTAATTTTCAAGTTTGAATCAGGTTTTTGTTCTGGGCCAGAAGGAGTCCTTTCAAGGCAGTCTTAAATGTAAGTGAAATTAAGATGCGAATATAGGTAGTTGCTGTGACAGTGCGTACCTTACTATCCCCATCTTGCAAACATGAAACGTATTTCTTTACACCTCTTTAAAAGGACCTAGGATTGCAAAAAGGCAAATGTATCCGGTTTAAAAAATCCTATTTCTAAATAGTGCAACTGAGAAATGAATGGCTAAACTAAATAGGTAGGCACTTTGCTTAATATTCGGAGTAGAAATGAAAACTATATTTAGTGGCTTTTATACAATTTTGAGACAAGTCTCCTTGATTATAATGCAAGACACGCCCATGACTATAACAAACTTTTGTGCAATCCGGTTTAAGACTTGATTTTTATCACAAAGAGTAGGTAGAGGTGGTGATTTTTTGAATTGAAACAGGATACAAAACTTGGGATTTTGTCGTATGCAGACAAGTTACAGTCTACGCTTCTTCCTGATAAAGATCATGTTGCAGACACAAAAAGTTCTATAGTCAATGACGGGACTGGATAAGAAATTACGTAATATTGTTAAAAGTTTTCATAAATGTAACATGTTTGAGTGTTGTAAGTTTTATTCGTGTAGCTTTTAATTGTATTGTTTCCAAAGTTAAACATGATTTGATGAGTTTCAAAACATAATTTCCTTTTAATATTGGCTGTTGTAAGCCAAAAAGTTTGTTACGAATTAGCTACGCTCAGTAATTAAAAAAAAATGCGTCCATAATCGTGATTCTTCCCAACCAAATAGGTAGATATGGAAATGGAATTCGGTTCTCATTCTATTTTTGGTGATAGATGTAGCTTGCGATCGAAACGTTGTTCATGACATTTAGGCAGTTGGGAGTTTATGGATCGTAAATCGAATCGTGGATGTATTGGTGGCGTGACGGCGTCAAATCTCTTTGTTGGTAAGTACGCTCCGCACATGTCCTTGGTCTGTTTGTTGCATGTGACATTGGCAGGTGGGATATTTGAGTGATGCACGCGAATGTGCATCGCGCAAGGTTGGAACATCTGGAATCGATTTGGTATGGTGTTAGCTAACACTATATTGATCATTGTAACGTCTGCTACGTATCCCCGGTGTAGATTTAACAAGTAGTAGGAAAGGAATGGCTCCCCTGTCTAAACTATGGAAAATTGGATAAACATTTAACAGTATAATTCTATCTCATAACGGGTATAGGAAAATATTCTTATCACCTGTTCAGCACTATTGAACTTCAACTGGTCTTAACAGCTAAGATATCGGTTAATATTTTTTTGGTTAATTTACGAAACTAGTCATATATTTTATCACTGTTACACTAATAGGACCAGACGCATTCGTAAAGATATTTCTAGTTGTCTTTATATTTCAAGCTCGAGCATTCTAATATTTTAATTAGATTAAAGTTATTTCGAATAACTAAATATGTGTCCCTATCATAGATAAATGATTATCTGTGGTAAAAAAAATGATTACCAACCTTATAAGCAACCCACAAAAATGCAGTTCACGTATCCAGGTTTGTAGGAAACTAGAAATTTATCTCATTTTGGTAACGGTATGTATAAATGAATCTCAAAAAGTCTGAACTTTTAAGCTCCATGAAGATAGCAATCTGAACTTATTTGAATGCGCCGCCGCGCCGGGCTGCCAACCATGTTCCGACGATGTTATCCGTTCATAACAAAGTCCCGAGGTTCGAAGTACCTAACAAATATCAGCGGCACGGATCACCGATACGATGCCGGCTCCGCATTTCACGACACGCGATACGTCCCCGTACAAATTTTATTAAACATCGAATAACTAAGTTTTCTCATTTAAGTTGGCCGTTGATTTGTAACAACGACCTGTTTATGGACAGTGTTTCTTATTTTAATATGGATAAAATTTAAAATTGATCACAGAGGTTTAGATTGGGTTTAAATCGCGAAACAAAGGCAGATTCAAATTCGCTGACGCATTCATTGCTGTTGTAAATCTCTATTCGGTTTGACGAATTATATAAAATTTGTTATCAATTTAAGATATTTATAATTTTAATATTCTTTATCTATACCTGTAAAAAAATTATCTTTCATTTACTTATTGGTTCCAAACATAGTTCGGTGGTTTCAAAAGTAGTTATTGTTGAATCAGTTTGAAGTTGGTATCTCATACATTTGTTCGAAATTCGGAATACATTATATCGACCCCGTGAAAGGAGATTATTGTCATATTTAATCACCCTACTTACATCCCACTTAATGTTGCCATACATTTATAATAACCAGACCAGACTGAACAAATACGAAACGTATTACAGTGGATCAAGCTGCTAATGGCTAAAGCAAATATTACAGTTTAAGGCACATTCATTGCTCGCCTACGCTTCTCAACAGGTTCGATGTTAGGTGGTGTCCTCGGAGATTTTGTTTAACTTCATTGCAGGTAGTTGCCACATAATAAATAATTTGTACTGTGATGCTAATAAACCAGATTTCAGGATTTTAAGTTACTTAAACTATCCCATGAATAACTTAACCATAAATAAATAAATAAATATGAATAAATGTCAAAATCCAAACCATTTTAGAGTGGTTCAATAGGGTATTTGACAGTATTAAAAATAAAGTGCCAATTGTTAGCATCTGTGTTTAGAATGATTATTGGCAGGGGTTTTTACTATTTTTACAAAAAAAATATTCATAATTTTACTAAAAACCCACAAAAAAGATAATAGTTTTCTTATCTGTTGTCACGTGACCCAAAGCGCTTGGGATTGGCGGAGCCTAAAATGACGTCACACGCAAGTAAACTTCTGGTTAAAGTGACATTACATTGTATCGTTTGACGTTTTAATAATAGCCGTGTGACGTCACACACTAGTAAGACGCCATATTGTCCAGAAAAACGTTTTCGCGGCAACTTGAAAATGGGAGTTTTTGATTTGGTTATTTTTACTGCAATACTCAACAGAATGATGAATATCCACTTTTTACGGACTCCATAAACATTAGTCAATAACGTAAAATCGTTTTTTAAAACTTGTCAAATACCCTATTATGCGATATCAGACAAGCAATAGGTATAAAAAATCGGATGAAACAAGTAAAATCGCAAAGAAAAGTAGTTACAAAGATTTGGATTCTAAATGATGAACAATAGGTAATTATTACATAAATAAGTAGCTGTACCTTTAAATTCCCGGACCTTGAGGCTTATAACCAAGAATCATACACAAATGCCAATACTGAGTTAGCGTGACCTAGTTTTTCTGTCCCTGTTATGACTAAGTGGACTCCCAATCAGCATAACAGTGTGGGTGGCGATGTGCATACTTAATTAATTATTGGCAGACCAGATGTAACTGTCATTGGCGAGAAAGTAGTTCAAAGCCTATATTATAGGTAACTATGTAATGACTGCGAAACTGGATTAATAAGTCGGAGCGGATAACATTGAAATCGATGCAAGAAAACAAAATAAGTTTATCGATAAAGTCTAATTTCTTTTGCCGTGGACTTTAGATTTTTTATTCTTGGAGATATTGTAGCGATCGACTGGGAAAGTGCTTTCGAGTTTAGAGAGGAAATTATGTTAAATGTACCTATAACAATAATTACAAAGTATTGTACACTATTGTTGTCCAAAAAGTCGAAAACTCTTAATTCAAATTGGAAGCAATGCAACTTTTAAAGAAAATTTTACTAGAAAATAAGGTGCGGGTTTGAGTCCCGTCTGCTGCCTGGTCCGCGTGGATTTTTTTTTCGAGTAAAATTTTCGGTACATTTAAACATCTAGCAGTTAAATGCTTAAAACATTAAAATATAACTACCTATAATACAACTTTTTTGAATCGTCCATATTTTTTCCCCTACCACCAGTTATGGTCAGAGTGTCAGAGGCCCCTACCTAAAATCGATAATCGATGTATCTTGAGTTTCGTCATGTCGTGATTTTCTATGGCATTAGAAACATATACGTCAGGGAAAGAATTGACAAGGATAACGATCGCGACAAAGCGAAAGTCAACTTTTAAAATTAAGTATACACTATACCGGCGCTGGATAGGTCACGAAATGAAAGCCCTAACATAGTTTCAGTTTAAGAAATGGCAACGAAATAAATTGGGTTATGGAAATAGACTATTAGCATTAGGCGAACCATACAAAATATAGTTTCTAAACAAGAATATTAGTAAAGAATAATCGCCGGAACGGCAAAATGCTTCTAGCCCAGACCGCAATCTAACACCGATTTTGATACGGTATTTTTTTAGATTTTAATTATAGCAATTAAATAGCAATTAATACTAAATAATTATGTTTTTATTATAATAACTGCTATGTTTAAAAGATAATAATAGGTTTGTTTGATTCTTTGAGCGTTCATCATTCGAGATTTAAGATCTATGTGTTATCAAATATATTTGCTAAACTTCTTAAAAGTTTGAAGCATATTAATTAAATATGAATGTTGAGTGTAGGAAGTGTTAAGTACTTATTATAAGTGCTCATCTTCCGAAGGTCGCACCAGCACTCAAGTGTGTCAGTTCTCGGTAAGTCGGAGGATGTTGTCTGCTTGTTTGTGTGTATTTGAGTTGGACAATAATGAGATTTACTTTGTCATATTCATTTAAGAGTTAGGATCGGAAAGTTTTCGTATTGTGTTAACAAAGTTGATGAGAAACAAATAGTAAAGGATATTTGTATACATAATCGTACAACTTCGACATTCATAAATTCACGATAGTCTGTGCGGAAACAGAATGGGATTTAGATTGGAGGGCGCTGTAGTGCTTTTCTACCGTATTTGTAAGGTTTTACCCTTTTTAGAGATGATTAAATACAAAAAACAGCAAG